CTTAACCACTCGGCCACGGGGCCAGCCCCCTCTTGGATATTCTTTCTGAGTTTTAGAAACAATTTGTTAAATTCCATAAAAGCGATATCCTATTGGGATTTTGACTGGAATACAATGAATTCATAATTTGTGTAAATTATAATTTTATTTTTAGTCTTCCCAACCCCAAACGTGTCAAATATTTTCCTTCATTCAGGTATTTTTGTATGTCCTTCAGTTAATTTAATTGATCACATTAATATACATTAAATATATAATTGATAAAAACATTCAAATTAATTTATGTCATTCATTTGCAGCTTGCAAATTTTTTCTTGGGTATATTCCTAAGTATATTAGTTTTTATTGCTGTTGTGAATGCCTTCATTCTGACTACATTTTCTAATCGGATATTACTGGGCTATGTGCTAACTATTGAATATATATATTCTAAGTATTACTTATAGAAACTTTCCTACAGCTTCACTAACATAGTTAAGCAGAAATCTATGTACAAGGCTGAACAGTGTAACATAATAAGAGCAAATAATTGGAAGTAGCCTAAATGTTTATCAATAGGAGACATTAAATAAATTATAGTACATCCATACAATGAAATGCTTTGCAGCCTTAAAAGGAATGAAGTAGATCTATATATTCTGATATGGAAAGTTCTCTAAGATATATTGAAAATATATTGTCATATAAAGAAGCAAAGTGTGGAACAGTGTGGAACTGCTACATTTGTGTTTTTACATGTCTGTATATGCATAAATATTTCTGGAAGGATACACACTCAAGTGTTAGTGGTGGTGTTTCTAGAGAAAAAGACTGGGAAATTGGTGTGTGTCAGCAACAATCATGTGTTCACACCCATTGTTCTCTTCCAGGGAACATGGGAAGACTACCTCTCCCAACAGCCTAGTAGATGTAATCTCACCAATGGGAACGTGGGCAGAGGAATGGGAATTCACTTCAGCTCCAAGGCAATTAGGTGTCGGAGTGAATCTTTTCCCCACAGCCTCCACTTTCATCTTCTCTCCCATCAGAGCAGTTGGGATCAAAAAACTGAAATGACAGAGCTGTTAGGTAGAAGCAATTTGGTTCTGAGTCACTGCTGGAGGAGAATACTGTACCAACACTGTCTACCCCATATTGTGATATGAGTGAGAAAGAAACATTCGTTGTGTTAAACCACTGAGATTTGAAGGTTTATTTGGTACCAGATGTGGTGGATTGAAGATGGCCAGACATCCTTTGACACTCCTTTCATTGAAGGCTGGGATCTGTGTCCCCTGTTCTTGAGTCTGGGCTGGACTATGACTGCTTTGGTCAACAGAAAGCAGAGAAAGTGATGCTGTACCAGTTTCTGGGCTCAAGCCTTAAGAGACTAGCAGCTTTCTTACATCAGTTGGCATGCTTGTTTGGGGACTCTCCTTCTCAGAATCCAGCTACCATGCTCTGAGAAACCTAAGCCATGTGGAGGGGCCACGTGTAGGTCCTTTGGTTTCCAGCTGTCATAGACCTTCCAGTCAACAGCCAGCATCTCCTGCCAGCCAGATGGGTGAGCCATCATTAACAACCAGCCCAGCTGTCTTCAGACGACTCTAGCCCAGGCTGTGACTGCAACTACATTAAGAGACTCAAAGTGAGAATCACCCAGCTGAGCTCAGCCAACACTCAGAATCATGAGAGAGATTAAGAAATAGTTGTGTTAAGTAACAGATAAGCCAAAGATCACCGAACAGCCATCCTGTCCTGACCACCGTGAAGATGTGAGGCAAAGAAGCGCACTCTTGTACCATTTGCATTTTTGGCTATGTGCGTGTTATTTATTTTTCAATTAAAAATAGCTGCAGTTTTGAATTCAAAACTTCTATGCACTGGGCCATGAAAATTGTTTTTGCATATTTTTGACACCACAGCAACAGCAATAAATATTTACTGGTCGCCTCCTCAGTTGGCGCCAGGCCTGTCCTAGGTGCAGGAGACAGAGCTGGGGTCAAGGCTGCCTTGGTCGTGGCTCTCCCGAAGCTTCCAGCCCGCTGGGAGAGACGGATCATAAACAACAAAACAAACACAGAAACGTGGTCCTTTCTGGGAGTGAGGATGCTCTGAAAGGAGGAACAGTTAGATATTGTAGACATTGAATGGGATGGAGGCTATTTGAGACTGGGTGAACAGGGAAGATCTTCTGAGAGAAGGGGTAGTGCCAGCCCCTAAAAGTTCTGGAGAATGGGCACCAGGAATAGTGACCAGTTAGGGTGAAGGTGCCCAGGTGGGATCTCAGCGTTGTGAACCGGCTTTCTTCACAGCATGGAAAGAGGTGAAGTCAGAGATGCGGGCAGGAGCCAGGGCAAGTGGGGCCTGGAAGCCATGCTGAGGAGTTTGGGGTGTGCTCTGAACACGCTGCAGAGCCTTTGGTTTTTAAGAAATCACTCTGGCTGCTGGGAGATGCTAACCCCAGCACAAGTTTCAAACTATATTCTAAAGTACATTAGGTCTCTAAATCATGTTTTTATCACTTTTTATATTTATTGGTCATTGAATTATGTTTTTCTCACATAATTAAAGTAAATTAAAGAGCATGTTAAATGTGGAAAAATAGGGGCTGGCCCCGTGGCTGAGTGGTTAAGTTCGCGTGCTCTGCTTCGGTGGCCCAGGGTCTCGCAGGTTCAGATCCTGGGCGCGCACATGGCACTGCTCATCAAGCCATGCTGAGGCGGCATCCCACATGCCACAACTAAAAGGACCCACAACCAAAAATACACAACTATGTACCGGGGGGGCTTTGTGGAGAAAAAGGAAAAATAAAATCTTAAAAGCAAAAAAAAGTGGAAAAATGGACATTTGTCTTTATGTATTATGAATGTTGTCTAAAATTGTATTTTAAGTGAACTTTACAATACAATCTTTCATATTCTAAAGATAGAAGATAAATATTTTTAGTTAGAATCAATCACTCCTTTATCATATACTATTCAAAAATGACAAAATTAGGCCGGCCCCATGCGTGAGTGGTTAAGTTCGCCCGCTCTGCTTTCGTGGCCCAGGGTTCGCCAGTTTGAATCCAGGGTGCGGACATGTCACTGCTCATCAGGGCATGCTGAGGTGGCATCCCACATGCCACAGCTAGAAGGACCCACAACTAAAAATATACAACTATGCACCGGGAGGGCTTTGGGAGAAAAAAGGAAAAATTAAAAAAAAACTTAAAAAAAAAAAGAACAGTGCTACAAATTAAATATGTTTACTAAAAAAATGACAAAATTATTTTAAACTTCCTACGAGTGTTCTGTGAGTCAAAAAAGGGTTAGGAACGCCTGACCCTAACAGGACTCCTCACCTGGGAAAAATACACCTCTGCACCTCAAAGCCAGGAACAGCCCTGTCAACACAGCCTTCCACGCACACAGCCCCAGCTCCCTTGATGATGTCCCCAGGCACATAAGAGCCAGCCAGTCCTAAAGGGAATTCATCACGGGCGCCAAATGGCCCTGGGCCTCCACGGGCACACCTTCTGGTAAATGTTACCACCCACCACCCACTCCTTTCAGCAGACAGACTTGATTGGGCCAGGGCTGAGGTCAGAGAAGTCTTAACTCCCTGCAGGGGCAGAAAGTTCTCCTGGAGGAGGTGACTCAAGTAGAAGCCACGCTGACTAGAGGGGAAGCTGCTCCAAAGGAACAGCTGCAAAGGAAATGAGGGTCAGAGACAACGACATGTGGGGGACTGAGCTCAGATCACTGTGGTTTAGAGCAGGGTATACACTCTCCTGAGGTGTCACTGGCATTTACTGCTTTCCAAGTCCTGTGACCCAGCCCCATTTGCATCTCAACAGACCTGGCACCTCCAGGGCCTGGTGACTCCCCAACATCACCCAAGTTCTCTGCGTTTCCTGGGGATGGACAGGTCTGCATTCCATCACCAAGAGCAGGGCCTGCTGGGGCCTTACACAGTGTCCCCCACGGTGAGGCTGGCCCCAGTCAATCCCTCCTTTCATTCTTCACACTGGCCTGTGTCTGTCGAGGTCTGACCAGGGGTCTTGCTGGAGAAGGTTTTATCACACTTCCTGGGAACCCATGATTCACTGTCAAGTGTACCTGCAAGAGATGCTGCGCCTCCAGAGGCTGCCCAAATAGAGTCAACGGTTGAGCCCTGAGTCAGGGTCCTGGGCTGAGGCCAGCTCAGCCACCCAATCCTGTGCGCTCTCAGGCAAGCTGCGTCTCCCCTCTGGGCCGAGGGTTGGCTAGACGAAATCAGCTGCATCCTTTTACTCTCAGGGACCTAAACTTTCTGCGACTAATTTCTGTCCCTAAACTTTGCTCCCCACAAACCCGAATCGGCCGGCTGTTTTTATGTCATCGAACCTCTGCACCTATTCTTCCCGCTGCCTGGAATCCTTTTCTCTCTCTGGGCCAACGCCTATTTCATCCTTCATGACCCGACCCAAATGCCATCATCTCCAGAAAGCAGGGCCTCTTCCCTTCAGTCCCTTTATCCTCTGTGATTTCTTATCTCGCTGGCACCCCGCGTGTGTCCTGTGTCTGTGTCGCCTCCCCTCAGAGATCTTGAGCGCCTCGAGGGCAGCGTCGGGCGTGTCGAGCTCTCCAGGTCCCCATCTAAGAGCCAGGCCGGGTCGAGATGGGCGCCGCGCGAGCGTCCGTTCTGCAGAAGCGGTCCGGGCGCTGAGGGGTTAAGGAACCGGGTCCCGGAGGCCCCGCCTGCGGAGCGCGCCAACAGGGGTGGGGGAGGACACCCGGATTCTCCGACCTCTATTCCCGCTTATTACCCGGGAGAGCACTAGGAACCCCGTCTTAGGTGAGAACTTTTGGTGGGGTCCGGGTGGTGTAGCCCTTGGCGGCGGCTTCCTCCACATTTGCGTTCCGTTCTCCCCCCGCGAACGCTCTTGGTATAGCCCGTGGATTCCCCGCCGCGGCCCGCCCCCTGACGTCAAGGAGAGTCCCCTCGGGGCCCCGCCCCGGCCCGGCCGCGCCTTCTCCGGCAGGAGGTGCGCGCGGAGGAGGCAGGAGAGCGCGGCCATGGCGGGCCGGGGCGCCCCCGCCGGCCTCGCGGCCCGCTGGAAACGCCACATCGTGCGGCAGCTTCGACAGCGGGACCGCACGCAAAAGGCACTCTTCCTGGAGCTGGTGCCGGCCTGTGAGTGCGCCCCGGGGGGCTTAGGAGATGGCCGTGCAGGGGACGGGGCTCTGGGCGAGGGGAGGTTTGTCTGGCTCCTCCGGCTGGGACCCAAGTGCACCAGCGCCTTCTCGCCTCCGAGGCCTTGGGCCTGCTGGATCCCCTGTCTGTTACGTCCCACCTCCGACTGGCCAGCTTTCCTGCCTCTTCCAATCCAGGCTCTGCCTAGAGACGGAGCTCCCTCCTGGTGCGCCAGGTCTCCTCGCGCCTCGTCGTCTGGCTCTGCCTCCCACGGGCTAGGCTTCCTAGGCACGGGTTCGTCAGCGACTGTTGGTTTTTTAAGGTCTCTTATGCTTCTCCCTCCCAGGCGGTCCCCAGAGTAGAGCCTGGTCAGTCCATTTGTCCCCCTCGCGAGACTGTCCAGAGCAGCTACTTCTAAACTCTGAAATCTCTAGGGAGGAAACTGAGAGTCCCAGGCTTTGCCACTGGATAGGTGATCCTGGCTCAGGGTTTTGGAGCACCTCTGCGCCCAGCCACGCCCGGCCTGGGGGAGAAGCACAGGGATCCAAGCTGCGGGAGGGAGCGGGCTGAGCCCAGGGAAGTCAGACTCTCACAGAGTTGTTTCTAGGCAGCGAAAGCCACGATGAACAGGTGTGCCATCTGTGGGTAGCGCCTCTGCTCATCTGAGATTGTATGTCTGGGCTTGAAAAGCTAACCACAATCCCTCCAGCTCCATCACTCGTCCTAATCTTGGCTGCTGCTTAACCATCCTCTTCCCCACCCCCACTGAATTTGCTGTTCTTGTCCTGGGAGATTTCTCTGCAACCTTCCAGGCTTCTGGTCCTCTCCCTTCAGGGATGTGAGGCCAGTCCCCTGCGTCCAGGCAGTGTCACTTCTCCACTGCTCTGATGGACAATGGAACCATTAGCTTTGAGGGAGGAGTCACCCCCCCGCCCCCGCCCCCCCCCTCCCCCCGGAGCTGCAAATCAGTGGGACTGCAGAGACTCTGGAGGGCTGCAATCAGATACATTGAAGTTCAGTCTTCTCTGTGGTCCTGGGCAGGGCATATCCCTAAGCCTCAGATTTCTCTCTTGTAAATTGGGCAAAATGGCATCTTCTTTAGATTTGCTGGGGGGCCAGCGCAGTGCCCTGGGGGCTGGGGTAGGGTTTTGTGTGAGAACAAAGCCAGCAACATCAGTCGAGGTGACAGGTAGGGGACTGCATGAGGGACCCGAGCTGAGGAGCTAGGCCTGGGCTTGTCACCCCCACTCTACCCTGGAACTGGTGAGAAAAGAGGAAGTGATGGTGACTGTGACGGTGGGTGGGGGTGGAGGGGCTGTGTTCCAGGGTCTGTAGCACAAACTACCAAACTCAAGGAGGTCTGCTGGATAATTGCTCAAGGACTGTCTGTTCCGATCTGGGGAAACTTCCGCCAATCCTGGGGAAGTCAGGATTATTTTTTAGTCCAGAAAGGTAGAGCTCTTAGAGGGGAAGTGACTTGCCAAAGGCCGCAGGCAGGTGGAACTTGTTTGTTTCCTCACTCTCTGGTGCCAGGCCCTGCCCTGGGGCAGCTTTGAATCAATCCTTGGGCTCTCCCTTCCCTCAGCAGGCAGTGCGCGGCCATGTCTTTCCCCAGCACTGGTCCTCCTTCTCTGTGCCTGGGAGAGCCTGGGGGCTAGTGCTGTGAGGCGACTGTGCCAGGGGTGAAGGTCCTGGGAGACTATTGCAAGCACCTGCTGAGCCCAGCCTGCCTGTAGCTCCCCAATTCTGCATCCCTGGGCTCCTGCAGAGAGCCCTTCCAGCAGGAGGTAACTTGGATGCCTGGAGTCTGCTGGAAGGTGTCTGTCTCCACCCCAGGTTCACCCTCTTGCACCCATAGATAACCGTCTTCTAGAGAAGGCTGAGCTGCTGGCCCGGTTCTCAGAGAAGATCCAGCCAGAGCCAAATGATGTCACTCCTGCTTCCCACCAGGGCCTCTGGTGAGTGTGTGTTCATGGTCACAATGGGCTGCCTGTGCCTGGGCCCTGCCCCCATCGCCTATGCTGGGTTCATTCTCTCCCTGGCACCTCATCTACCCCTGGCTGCTGCCCAGGGGAGGGGAGACGCAGCTTCCCTCTTGAAGCTTGAGGCTTCTCCCAGGCCAGCCGCTTAGAATGTCCTTTCTCTCCTACCCTTCTCAGTCCATCTCTGCATTTGTCCCATCTCCTTCCCCTCCCACCCCTACACTCCTGTCTTTTCCCCTCCTCTGTCTTTTTCTGTCTCCCTGTTGCTTACCTGATGCCTAAAGAAGGGTCTTGCTACCTACTCCAAAGAGGGAGTGAAGATGAGAACCAGGAATGGGTTAGGGCTCAGAGTTGGGAGGGGCCTCAAGAAGGGAGCCCAAGGCCTGGGGGAATTCCAGAGCAGGAGTCATGGGCAGCTCCAATTTCTGGAGACTTGCTCTTTCCTCTGCTAGCTTTCTGGCTTCACCTTCCTCAGGAGACAGTTCATGGCTCTGGTTTCAGGCTTTTCATGTGCATCCCCTGGGTGAATGGACGGACAGTGAGCACCCCTTTCTGATTGGTTGACAGGGAGGAGTCGGGGCCTGACTCAGACCAAGTCCCAGGCACTCTGAGGGTGAAGTGGCGAGAGGAGGAGGAGGGGCTCCGGCTGGTCTGTGGAGAGGTAGGCTGGGCAGGGATCTGAGAGAGGATGGGGTGGGGCCAAGATCCAGGACTTTGCGGGGTGTGGGGAACGCAGTCCAAGGGAGCCAGCAAGTGAGGAACATTCCCCAAGGCCAATGCCTTGAGGCTAGAGAGGGGTCAGAGTGCTCTCTATTTTGGCTCTGGCAGCCCAAGATGAGGAAGTGAGGTGAGAGCTCAGGGAGGCGGGTGAGGTGTGCAGGGGCTGGGCAGCTTCTGTTCCTCTTCCAGATGGGCCAGTCTGCGCTGCTCACGACTTGCCCCACCAGGTGGTCTCCCTCCATGGCAGGGTGTGCTACTGCCACCTGACACTGCCCCCCAACCCCATGGTGTCTCTTGGCTTCTGTTTCACCACACTCTCCTGGCTTTCCTCTCCTTGCTGTAGCTGTTGCGTCTGAACTTCCTTCTCTGGCTCCTTTCTGTTTGCTGACTCCCAGACACATCTCTAGCCCGGCCTCTTCTGAGCTCCAGACTCTTTGCTCAGCTGGTTTTTGGACATCACATCTAAAATCGACCCACCATCTCCCCCATAATATGGCCAACACCACATTAAGAGGCGAGTCCCTGTAGGCACTGGGCTGAGCATTATTTCAGCTAACCCTCCACAATTTTATGGTTGCAGAGAAAACTGAGGCTTATTAGAGAGGCGGAGCCAGGATTTGAACTCCCTCCCACACGAATCCACCTTCTGTGATCTCCATTCATTCTTTCAACAAATATTTATTGACAATTGCTACATCCAGGGCACAGGGGATGCAGCAGGGAACAAGACCTGGCCCCACGGAGCTTCCCGTCCACTGGAGGAGACTGATAGCCATGAACACACCCCCAGTTCCAGCGTGCCAAGTCACGTGCCCAATAGTGTGGGGATGGGGCTGTGAACCCAGTGAGAACCTCTCCCTCAGAGTCCCTGTTGGAGTGGCAACGTGACACTTGAGAGGTGACCCTCAAACATCTGAGCCCCCTTCTGGGCTGTGAGAGCCCCAAGACCTGGGATGCCTTTGCTTTGCCTCCACTGTATCCCAGGGGCCTGTCTCCACAGTCCATGCTAATGAATATTTGTAGACTAAGTGAGGAAGAGGTACATCCCCGCCATTGGTCGTCACCGGGCTGGAAATCCAGGGATACCTCTGGCCCTGCCAGCCCTCCATCCTGAGCTAGTCAGCAGCTCATGGATCCTGCCTCCAAATCCTTCCCCTTCTCTGTTTCTTGTCTTATCTGGCCTGGTCCAAGTTCTCCTCATCCTCCCTGGATAACTCCTCCCTGGGCACCCCCGTCCACCACTCAGAGTGATATATTTTAATGAAAATGATCTCCCTTAGAAAAAGGCAAGGAATACACAAATTCCTGCTTATTGTGAACATTTCAAGAGAACAGAAGCCCACAGAGTAAAGAAGGGAAAGCCCCTCCCTTCGCCTCTCCCCATTATCAGTTTGCTGTCTATCTTCCAGAGCCTTACCCTGGCTCCCCAGCGAGTTCTCCTTCCAGCCTCTTGTTGCATTTCCTGCCACTCTCGTGTCTCCACCTCATGGTTCCCTTGTCTGGGATACTTCCACGTACCCCTAGCCTACCCTTTGCTCTCAGCACTCTCTCCCTCCCCGTCACTTCCTGAGACGCACACCAGTCAGTTCCCATTGGATATGCCAGGGCGTGGGGAGTGGCTTTTTCTTTAATTCTCAGTACTGTTTCACATATCACAACAAACATGCCTCATTATTTTTAACTTTTTATTTTGATATAATTATAGATTCATAGCAAGTTGCAAACAGTGCAGAAAGGTCCTGTGTACCCTTCACCCAGTTTCCTCCACTGGTTACAACCTATGTAACTATGGGGAGCACAACCAGGACGCTGGTATTGGTGTGAAGTGTGTATACAGTTGTCCTTTTGTCATGTGTAGATTTGTGTGACCATCAAGATACAGCACTATTTCATCACCACAAAGATCTCCCTCTTGCCACCCCTTTTTGGTCATAACTCATCCCTGTCCCCCAACCATCTCTAACCCCTGGCAACCACTAATCTGTTTTTCATCTCTATTATTTGAATTTTGAAAAGCATCAACTAAAAAACATTGAATAACAAAACATCAAAGAAAGTAAATGACAGGTGAGGGAGCAGAAGTGGAGGTAAGCTTGCTGAGTGGTGAAAGGAATTATAAATCTACTGACTGGGCCAGCTCTGGAAGTAGGTTCCCTGCCAGGGTCCCTCCCAGGCCCACTCATATAGGGTGACGTCTGAGTGTAGGTGGACAGCACCATCTTCGCTCTTCAGTCCATGCCTTACCCAGCCCACGTAAGAAAGAACAAGGAGCAGGTTAGCAACAAGAGCCCGCAGCCTTGGTTATTTCTTCTTGTTCCTCTTGCCCCACTTGTGGGAACTGCTTTGCCTGGGGTCCTTCTCTCCCACTGGCCCCTCAGTTCTAAAAGGTGGGAGTTGAGCTTCCTCTCTGTGGCTTCCCCAGCTCTCGGCTGAAGGACGGTTGAGTGAGGCAGGGGGATAGACGAGATGCCCCTCACTCCCACTCTTGGGCTGGGGGCAGCTCCAGTATTCATTCTGGGCCCTGTGCTCCCCCAGTCCATTCCTGTGTGCCTCTGCTTGCAGCTCCCTGTTGCTCTCTGGAATCTATGCCAGGGGATGGAGAGGTGGGAAACAGACCCCACATCGCTCAAACCCCTCCTGTAGACCAGTCCTTTACTTGGAACATAATGTTAGGTGACCTGGGTTCAAATACCAGCTCTGCTACTTAGCCGTGTGACTTTGGGCAGGACACTTAACCTCTCTGTGTCAATGTCCGCGTCTAGAATGGCAGTACCTACCCTCATGCTGTTGTTACAGGCATTAAACGTGTTAATGTGTGTAGAGTGCTCAGAACAAGGCATGGCACACATAAGTGCTATATAAACATTTGCCATTATTTGAAATATTCCTCATAATAATTCTGCATTACCCCGAGGTAAGCACCAGCATTCCCATTTTACAGGTGAGGAAACAGAGCAGGTTCAGAGAGGTTATATGACTACCCTGGGGTCACAGCGAAACTAAGTGGTGTTGGCAGGACTGAAACTCAGGTGTTGGACCCCAGGGCCTGAGGCCCCTGCATTGTCCCTAAACAGCCAGGCGTCCCTGTGCAGGACCTTAAACCGGGCCGAGCCTCTGCTGTCCTTTCAGTAGGGGCGGGGCGGGGTGGGGGTGGCAGCAGCCCCTGTCCCATCCGCCGGGAGGGGCTGGAGGCACCCGTGCCCACCTGGCCCGCCCGCCGCCCGCAGATGGCCTACCAGGTGGTGGAGAAGAGCGCGGCGCTGGGCGCCCTGGAGGCGGAGCTGGAGCAGCGGCAAAGCAGGTGAGGCTCGGGCCAGCGCACAGGGACCGGGGACGGGGGCACGGAGGACCCCGCGGGGCTCCAGCAGGCCCGAGAGCTTGCCCCGCGTGGGTGCTCTCCGAGGCCGGACCGGCAGGACTCTGAGGACGGGAGGCTGGGTTGGAGACTTGGCTGGGCCGCCTGGCAGGCCACCTGCCCATGGGCAAGTCTGTCCCCGCTCGGAGACCGGCTGCCCCTGAGCGGTGACAGAGGCTCCCCGCCCTCCGCCCCCCAGGCTGGCGGAGCTGGAGGCCCGCGTGGCGCAGCTGCAGGAGGAGCGAACGCAGCAGGCGCAGCGGGTGCACGTTCGGCGCGCGCGGAACGCAGCACAACGGGCGGCCTACGAAGCGCTGCGCGCGCACGCCGGCGTCCAGGAGGCGGCCCTGCGCAGGCTCGAGGAGGAGGCGCGCGAGCTGCTGGAGCGGCTCGTGCAGCACAAGGCGCGCGCCGCCGCCGAGCGCAACCTGCGCAACGAGCGCCGCGAGAGGTGCGCGCGCCGGGCCCGCTCCGCCCCGCCGGGAGCTCTCGAGCGGTCGCGCCCCCTGTGCGGGAGGGGCCCGGCGCCTGCCCCGGGGGAGGGGACCCCCCCCCGCGCCGCGCCCGGCTGTCAGCGGGCTTTTCTTCCCTCAGGGCCAAGCAGGCGCGGGTGTCCCAGGAGCTGAAGAAGGCTGCCAAGCGGCCCGTGAGCATCAGCGAGTAAGAATGGGGATGCGCCCGGACCTGCCCGCCGAGCCTCCGCCCCGCGTGTGCTGGAGCGCCCTGCTCTCCCGCTGCTGCCTCCAGTTCTACCCCGCCCCCTCTCTGCCCGCGCCACCCGTGCACCTGGCAGCACGTGTGCACGACCGCGGTCCCGAGGCTCTCGCGGACACGTGCAGATGTGGTCATAGGAGCCAGCACGGTTGCCTGCCACACGTGCACCCACACGGACCCCTCATCCCTGGGTCTGCACATTTTCCCCATGTTGGACTCTGGGGCACGGACGGGCTGGCCAGTCCCTTGGCCTTCTTGAGCCTCATTCTCTCTCCCAGGAGCCCAAGCATCCTAGGCTATGCTGTCAGGGAGCCGGCCAAGACTCTGGCGCTGGCTGCTGAGCCGGAGTCCCTGGAGAGTGAGGCTGCTGAGAAGTTGAGGAGGCCTTTCAGGTGAGGACGGTCCCAGAGCTCTGAGCTGGCCCTGTCCTGCAGTCTTCCTCTAGGACCTTTGGGAGATTCTGGGGTACAGCTCAGATCTCCCAGAACAGTTCTGATCTCTAGTGCCTGGAGCCACGTTGGGTCAGTGCCACCTCAGGGACCCCAGCCCCTGTCCTCACCCCTTTCTTTCCTTCCCAGGACCAGAGCTCTGGGGGTGGGGTGTCAGGCTGGTGAAAGAGTGTCACCAGGAGGGAAGCTGTGGGCAAGGCTCAGGGCTCAGCTGTCACAGGCATGTGTGTGCGTACACAGGGACATGAGAGCACATGTGTCCAAGCTTGGGCGAGCATACCTGAGTGGTGTGAACTTCTGAGCGTGTGTAGGTGTGAGCTCACAAGGGAGGGACCGGATAGGGGCTTCAGTCCTTGGGCGCCTCTCCCCTCAGGCTCCCTCATCCATCTTGACTTGCCTGGCATTGAGGCTGCCCTCTCCCTGCCCCATTCCCCAGCCTGCAGGCCCACCTTCAGCCTTTCCTTCCAGGGCACTGGTGTCCAGGGAAGGAGCCTGGGGGAGGGGCAGGAGATGCTGGTCCCCAAAGCCCTTGGCAGCCCTGGTGGGCCAAGTCATCCCAGGGCACACCCTCTCCTGGGCATTTTTCAGGTCTCTGCAGATCCAGCTTTTCCTACCCTGAGCCTTATGCTCTCCCATCCTGGGGTATCTTCACCCCTCCCCCACCACAGGCCCACCTCAGCCTCCCAGGAGCTTTTGTTGGGGGCACTTCTGTGGTGAGGCAGTCCTTAGCATCATGGTGGGAACTGGGGAACTTCGTGCCAAATCCCTCTCTGCCTCCACCTTCCTGGGCCTGCTCTGGGTCATCCCACTCTCCTGGTCTTCAAGTTCTTATCCCGGGCTTAAGAGGCGTTGGGCCTTGGGGTCCCTAGCCAAGTGTTAGGATGAGTGACTGCTTTCTGCACACCCACCGGCCAGTCCTTTAGTCCAGCTCTCTTGATTCGGCCCCAGGTCTGCCTCCGCCACCTCCTTGACGCTGTCCCGCTGTGTGGATGTGGTGAAGGGGCTTCTGGAGTAAGTGTGTGTGTGCACCAACACGTGTGTGAAGGGGTCGGGCCCCTTGGAGCCCTGTGTGAGGCTCCCAGAGGCCGGGCTTTGTGTATCCACCTTGGGTCTGTCTGTCTGTATGTTGCCCAGCACTCTGTGTGTGAGTCTCTGCTGCGCCCCAGAGGCAGGAGCTGTCTAGGGGCTGGATAGCCCAGCTACCCTCGGGGCTTTGTCCCTCATCAGTTTCTTTACGGGACCAAGAGCTCCAGCCTGAGGCCGGACAGGAACTGCCACTCAGTTGGGAAACTGAGGCTTAGAAATGTCAGGGACTTCTCCAGGGTCAGAACCAAGCAGTAGCAAGGCCAGGACTGAAACCCCAGCCCCGAGGTTTCCACTGACCCTGCCCTGCCTCTATGTCTGTTTCTCTGCCCCTCCCATGTCCACACTGAGCCCTAGGGTCAGAGGCCGGGTTGGGGAATATGCTTGCTGCCCCTCTGGGCCATGTTCTGCTGCCTTCCATGTCTGCTTCCTGTAGTTGCTGCCTCGGGAGCTTGAGGCCCCCATGTCCGAGGCTTTGCTGAATGCCCTCCTGACACCCCACCCCCAGCTTCAAGAAGAGGAGAGGCCACTCAGTTGGGGGGGCCCCCGAGCAGCGATACCAGAGCATCCCTGTGTGTGTGGCAGCCCGGCTTCCTACCTGGACTCAGGATGTGGTGGTGAGCAGGAGCTGGGCCATATGCATGGGGTACTGAGAGGGGGTTACAAGCCGCAGGGGTGGTCTGCGGAGGCCAGGGAAGCAAGGCCGGGCTCCTTAGTAGGAGCAGGAATTTTCCTTCCACAGCTTGTGGTGGGACCCCCTCAGCATTTTATAATGGGGAGTAGACTGGGGAGGGAGAGACGGGAGGCTGGGAGACCAGGAGGCCAGGCGGGGAAGCACGGGGCGGTGTAGGGGGAGGCTGCTGCAGGGGTCCACGTGGAGGTGGTAAGGCCTGATGTGCACAGGTGCTTGTGAGAGAGAGCCTGTGAGCATGTGCAAAGAGGCGTGCATGAAGGACCAGGGCCACCAGCCTCTCCTTTTCCCCCCAGGATGCCCACCTCTCCGAGGTCAATGCTGTTTGTTTTGGCCCCAACAGCAGCCTCCTGGCCACCGGAGGGGCTGACTCCCTCATCCACCTCTGGAATGTCGTGGGAGGTGAGGGTCCCTCCCCTGCAGGCCAACCCACTGCTTTCTCTCCAGACCCCACCCTCAGCTCGCTCCTTCATGGGTAAAGGTCTTGGGTCTCTTTGTGTTTCCTTGCCTGGAACATTCTTGTGGGCAGTGGCCAGATGACCCCTTAGCAAGGGTTCTGGGTTCCCTGCTCTGAAGAAGGGTGGTGCCCCCCAGCTCCTGGGGTCCAGGCCTGCAGGATGGGGAGGGCTGGCCCAGATGGTCCCTGTTAGGGGAGGTGGGTGTCCCTGATCGTGAAGTGGTACAGGGACAGGCCCTTGAGGAGCAGGTCCCTGCGGTCCACCAGGTCACCTCTTCTGTTATCACTTGAACTCTCGGAACTCAGTTAGGAGACAGACATTAGCTGTCTACCCTGTGCTCTGTAGAGGGGGGTGTGTTGGGGGAGGCCGAGCCAGCTCCTGGAGGCCTCCTAGAGGAGACGAGTCTCCAGCTGGTTGGCCCTGGCTTGCTGTGTGACCTAGGGACAGTCCCTTCTCTCTGGTCCTCTCCAGCCCTGTCTGTAAGATGAGCAGCTGCTCCCTGAGGCCCCCTGCTGGCAGTTCGGGAAGGTGCAGCCTCCAGCCGTGGCCCCCAGAACAGACCCAGCAGTTCTGTCCTCTAATCTGGGAGAGACGGATCTTCCCACTCCTTGTCCCAGCTTTTCCTCTTCATGTTAGTGATCTCATTTCACCTGCCCATTCCCCCGGTCCCCCTAGGTCACCTGAAGGCCCACCAGACCCTTGAAGGAGGTGGCGGCAGCATCACCAGTGTGGACTTCGACCCCTCGGTGAGCGGACTTTGCCCTAGTGGCGTGGGATGCCCACCACTCTCCACCCCCGGCAGGCGGGGGCTCTGGCACCTGAGGGAACATCGTGGGTGTCCTAGATCCAGGCCTTGGAGCTCTTACCCAAATCCTCCCTGGGCCACAAGCTCCTCCGCCTGCCTGCTGCCCTGGGCTGTGGGAAGCTCCGAGGCAGCCCCTGCCCCAGCTCTCCGGCCTGAGGGACGTTGCCTCTGGCTGGGCCCAGGTTCAGGACCTCTCCCTTCCACTCCCGTGTCTCTAGGGCTCCCAGGTATTGGCAGCTACTTACAATCGGGCTGCCCAGCTCTGGAAGGTTGGGGAGGCGCAGTCCAAGGTGAGCCCTGCCTGGGGACGCAGCCTGGGGGTCAGGGGTCATGCCTTGGGACTGGAGGGGGTGTTATGGGGTCTTGGCTGTGCCCTTGATCCATATCTGGGATGGGGAGCAGGAGACACTGTCTGGACACACAGACAAAGTGACAGCTGCCAAATTCAAGCTAACGAGGCACGAGGCGGTGACTGGGAGCCGAGACCGGACAGTGAAGGAGTGGGACCTTGGCCGCGCCTACTGTGAGACCCAGCCCCCGCCCCGCCCTCCGGGACCCTCCCAGGCCGCTGGGAGAGGCTTCAGCTTGTTCTCTGGGAGTGGCTCTGAGATTCGCAGGCATTTGGGGAGAAACCTTCCAAGGGCCTTCCTCTCTGTCCCCCATTGGTGCTTTCTGCCAGTTTCTTGGTGACCTCAGGCTTTGGGCTGGGAGGCAGGGCACCTGGGTTCTAGTTTTGGGAGGACCTCAAAGCCTCAGCTTCCCCATGTGTCCAACCCTTCTCTGAGGCCAGGGCTCTGCTCCTTGGTCCCCAGGCTCCAGGACCATCAATGTCCTTTCCTACTGTAACGATGTAGTGTGTGGGGACCATCTCATCATTAGTGGCCACAATGACCAGAAGATCCGGTTCTGGGACAGCAGGTGACAGGCGCAGGCTGTGGGTGGTGGAGGCGTGGGGCCGGGGTTCCTGGGTTCTCTTTCCTTTCTCTGGCCGTGGAGCCGTGGAGGGTACCTCGGGGAAGTAAGGCTGTGGGGTTGGTGCTCCCAGCTGGTAGCCTTTCTGTGACAGGCTTGGCCCCTTGAAGGCTCAGCTGACCCCAGGGAGCTGTGCCACCTTCCTAGTGGCTCTTCCTCCAATCGCTGGACTCTGCCTGGGCCTTGCCAGCCAAGATGGATTAAATTTTTCCATTTAATTACCATGTTTTAGTTAAAAGGAACAAATGTTTTGGTGGTTCTTCGAACCTGGAGCCCAACACTGAGCTCGAATGGTGTATAAAGCTGGTGCTGGAGGCCGTGCCTGCCTCGGGCCTCCGCTCGCTGGTCTGCAGGCTTGCTGTCTGAAGCCCTTCTCTCTCTTTCACACATTTGAAGACGATTTTCACTGCTTTCTCTCCAGCACTTATTTTAGTGACCTAAAGGTTTCAGGGGCTCCAGGGGCTTCGAGTCAAAGGCTGCCTGAGTTCCTGTTGGAGGGCGCTGGCCGTGGTGGGAGATTTGTCACAGTCAGCCTTGGCCCCAGTGATCTGAGCCCGGGGGCGCCTGTCAGGAGTGGCCCTGTCAGGGTGGGCTGCTCCTCATTCCCGTCTCTGTCTCGGTCCTCAGGGGGCCCCGCTGCACCCAGGTCATCCCTGTGCAAGGCCGGGTCACCTCCCTGAGCCTCAGCCATGACCAGCTGCATCTGCTCAGCTGTTCCCGTGACGACACGCTGAAGGTCATCGACCTGCGTGTCAGCAATATCCGCCAGGTGTTCAGGTACCAGCCTCCAGACCGCTGACCTGTGGCTTTGGCCAGGGCAGCTGGACCTCTCGTCCCCTGTAAAAGGCCCCCCAGGGCCTGTCAGTGGGGGCCCCTCCCTGCAGGCCCTTCTGGACCAGGGCCTGCTGAGGTGCCCGACCCTTTGAGGGAGAGAGGAGGCTCTTGAAGCTCCTGGCTGAGGGCAGGGACTGGCGGCCACCTCCCTTCTGACCCCGACCCTGTCTGTCCTCAGGGCTGAAGGCTTCAAGTGTGGTTCTGACTGGACCAAAGCCGTGTTCAGGTGTGTTTGGGAGAGCACGTGCCTGTGTCCGAGTGCGCCCCATCTGACTGCATCTGTGTTAGGGTGTGTGTGTCTGTGTGTCCTCTGATCTCTCTCTTGTTCTGTGGCCACTGCAGCCCGGACAGATGCTATGCGCTGGCGGGTTCCTGGGATGGAGCCCTTTACATCTGGGATGTGGACACTGGGAAACTGGAGAGTAGCCTTCGAGGACCCCACTGGTGAGCACGGCCGCCACCCGCCCGCCCATCCCAGCCTCAGGGCTAGTGCCACCCCAGCCCAGCTGCTAAGTCGATTCCAGGTTCTGACATGCTTGGGATCGTGGAGTCCCCTGCCCTTGTCCCACACCCTCCACCCCCCGAGCCCTTCACAGTTCACAGAGTGCCCTCCCATGCACATTTGGGTCCATCCTCACCACAGCCCTGTGAGCCCATTTTACAGGTGGGGCTCAGAGAGGGCCTCAAACTGCCCAGGTCCAGGAATGAGGGGCAGAGCCAGGCTGCAGGCCCAGCTCCTGACGCCCCCTGAAGCCTGCCCCTCTCTCTCCTCAGCGCTGCTGTCAACGCCGTGGCCTGGTGCTACTCCGGAACCCACGTGGTGAGCGTGGACCAGGCCAGGAAGGTTGTGCTCTGGCACTAGTGGCACGACCTCCTGCCCGGGCTGGAGCTCTAGTCCGAAGCCTGAAGCTGGAGGACAGCTTCCTACTGCTCCACCGGGCTTCAGGGTGGGGGTGCGGGGGCCTGGGGGGGTGGCCTCAGGGCCTTTAGTGGGGAAGAAGGCCTGGCAGGACCTGGCCTATTTGTTTAAAAACTAAGTGTAGGTTGGAGGGAATTACAGTATTTTTTTTGTTTATCTCTGTCTCCTCAATTTTTCTGCCAAAAATGGAAAAAAAAATTGCATCTAAACTGGTGTTGCCTTTTTACAGCATTCAGGGAACAGAGAGGCCTTTGGGCTGGTGGCTGGAGGAGATCCGGGCTTGGCTCCCTTTCCTCCTCCCACGCGGAGCTGGGGCAGAGCCGGCCCGGCCTCGTGCTGTTCACGTCTGTTTGCGTCTAACGGAGGAGACAGCATGGAGAATGGCCAGAGGCAGCGAAGGCCGCGGCTCTTGGAGCCATGGGAATTTCACCCTTGGTCCAAGCTGGTCCTGAGGCCAAGCCAACACCTTGGGCCTTCCTGCTTCAGGCACCCAGGGTAGACAGAGGCTGAGGAGGGGCCTTGGGAGTTCTGAGGAGGGAGCAGGGGAGGCAGCCAGAGGGGCCCTGGTGGAAAGAGTCCTCACAAACCAGAGAGTGATGTCAAGTACGTGGTACAACAGGGCTGCCTTTGGACTGGGCCACGTTCTTGCTCCAGAGGCAGAGCCCAGAGTGGGTGGGGAATGGCCTGTGTGTGTTGGTCGGGGAGGGCAGCCATGGGCCAGGCCTGGGCCTGGGGCTTCACTTCCATCGGTGTCACATTTAATCTGCACGACGAGCCTCTGGAGTATAAAGCAGACCCTTGGGGGGGGCGGGGCCTGTGTGCCCCACTTCCTTCCCCAACCTGGAGGAGGGGACTAACGTCCCTGACCTCTGGGGGTCTGCCCAGCTGAGATTCAAAGGCTTTACTCTAGAACTCTTTGCCTCTTTCTTTATCACCTTTCAGAGTCTCCAGTGGGGATCTTTGCTAGTCCCAGGGTTTTGGAAACCATTTCTAGGATGGGTGGCCCAGAGCTGAGAGCCTGGACTCTGTAGCCAGTTGGCGTGGGTTGAATCTCAGCTCTGCTATTTAGTAGCTGAATGATTTTGAGCAAGTTACTTACCATCTCTGTGCCTTAGTTTCCTTCTCTGTAAATGGATAACAGCGTCCACCTCAAAGGGCTCAATGCGTTAGGACTTGGAAAGCTCCTGGCACGTGCTGAAGGCTGCAGATGTATTGGTTAAGTACCCAAATCTGCCCTCTGCCAACTCCCAGATCCCTCTCTGCTCTTGGCCCAGCTGTCCCCTGGGTTCTAGGTGACATACCCAGCAGCCTCCTGGGCATCAGCTCCCGACATGAGCTCCTCTCCCCTCACGCCCCATGTCCTCTCAGACCCCAAGGTTGGGGCTGCTGGGTCTAAGTCCCCACCATGCCTGCTGCCCCTGCAGGCCACCTCCTCCTAGACCTGCGCTCTCCCTACCCAGTCCCCTTGCCACGGCCAGAGTGACTTTCTAAGGTGTCCTGGTCACATGTGCACCCCTTTGAAGTTCCCCTGCAGCCTGCAGAGAAACTGTGGCATGAAGTTCAAAGCCTTTGGCTGCGACCCTGCTGCCTCAGCTGCTGCTCCATTTTCTTGCTGCTCTGAGAGTGTCTTACATGTGGTTTTCTCTCTGCCCAGAATGTCCTTCCCTCCCAGGCCCCAACTCAGTTGTGCTTTGGGATCCCTTCACCGAGAGCCCTTTGTCATCTGCCTGCTGGCCAGGGGCCTCCTCCGTCCCTGTGCTCCCGTTTGTGTCTGTGTCCCTCCATTTTCAGTCAGGGAGCTCTTGGAAGAGGCCCGGCTGGGAACAGAGTATTCCCTGGGATCAGGCCTGGCACAGAGAGAGCCTCCGGAAATGTTTATTAAGTGGCTGCATTCTCTGACTCAAGGACCCGGCAAGTCTGACAGTGGAAGACTCTAGGCGTCCAGCATCCTTTAATCGATGTCCCAGGGCCAGGCCCAGCCCTCAGGTCCTGGCTCCCAGTGGCCACCAGGAGTCACCAGCTGCCTAGTTGTCTGCTGAGGCCATTCTCTCCACTCTTGGGATTCATGGCTGGAAATACCAGTGCTTCCGGGAGCCACCACTGCTGAGTGCAGTGTGTGAGGCCCTGTGCTCGGTGCTTTTCATGCAGTATCTTTGTTCCTCCCAACCACCTCGTGATGTAGGTATCTCACAGATGAGAAGATTGAGGTTCAGAGAGGTTGTGATGTGAGATCACACAGCTGGATTATGACTGTATTTTATATATATATATTTTTACAAAATGTCAGGGAATCTGGGCTCCCATTTAGGCAGAGCTGCAGGGCATGCCCCCCGTGCCGCAGTGCTGTGCCCCCTGCCTCTGCTGCTGGGTGGCTGACTGTAACCGAAATCCCTCCCTGCTGCCTCTCCTTCCACCTGCGCCCTGGGCTCCGAGGCCTGAGCCTGGAAGGTTGATGTCCTTTGAAGTGGGGATATGCGGGCCACAGGAGTGAGGTGGACTTGAATCCTGGGAGGTTCTTACCAGCTACACCATTCGGGGCAAGGACCTCAGAGGACTGCAGTGAGGACTGCTTAGAGAACACATGAGGTGCTCGGGAAATGGTTTGACTTGACTCCTGGAACAGCGGCCCCTCTCCTCCCCTCAGCCTTCCCCTCTTAATGGGGCAAATCTGACAGCACAACCTCGGGTGCAGCTGCCTTACCTCTGGGAGCACACGCACACGCGCACTTCAACTTGCTTGGAGGAATGCTTCCTGGAGGAGCAAGTGTGGAAGGCCAGAGATGGGTCAAGGCCTTGCAGGGGTGAGGAAGGCCCACACGGAGGCAGACGGGCTGGCAGAGGCCCAGCAGGGAAGGGCTCGGAGGGGTGGCCGCTGGGAAGGCTGCAGCTCTGGTCTGTGGTCCCCTGCAGCAGAGGGGCCGGGATAGGATAGGACCCTAGGCTTTTAGTTCTCTCCAGGTTTTCAGTACTCAGTACTCAGTGCTCAGGTTTTCAGTGCTCAGGGGCTGCCTGCCTCAGTTTGGTGCCCTAACGTCAAAGCTGGAATGGCCTTCATCCTTGCTGTGCACCCAGAGTGAAGCCCAGAGAGGGGCCAGGCCTTGTGCAGGGTCACACAGCAGAGCAGGGATAAGAACCCAGGCCTGATTCTCTCTTTTCTAAAAACCGGACTCAGGTTCTGCTGAGTGGGGAGTGGGGCTGGCTTGGTCTTCTGGAAGCCCAGTTCTAGGTTCTGCCCCCAGTCGTCTTGCTGAGAGACCTTGGGCAGATCACAGTGTCTTCCAGGGGAAGGAGTTTCCCCATCTGTGAGGCTCTTCCTGCCCCGCTTCTGGGCCTCACCATGGGTGACAGCTCTTCCCCGGGCTGTTCTGCAGGTTGAGTACGGCCTCCTCTGCCCGCCCTGCCCAGTCTCAGGCCTGGTGAGCCTCAGACCGGAGAGGGAGAAACGACAGAAGCCCTTGTTCTGGGCTCCTGCTGCCCCTTGGTCATCTCCCTGTTCTGGGAGACACACCTTGGCCCGAGGCTGCTGTTCCCAGTCCCCTCCACCAGATGTGAGCCCCTCAGTGACAGGGAGGGCATCTGAGTCACTTGTGTCTCCAGTGCCTGGAGCAGTAAGTTTGCTGACTGGACAAAGGGTGGTTGAATAGAGGTGGTCCTGGCCCTTCAGATGTTCGCTGGAGGAATCCTGGCGGCACCGGGTGTGGATCTGTCTGTGAGGTTCAGACATACCACGTCTGGGGTCAGGCTGTCTTCTCTCTGGATGCACATCCCCTGGTCAAAAGTATTTTCAGCTTCTCTGTACATTATCTTATTTGATCCTCGTGGATCTTAGGAAGTTTGTATTGTTTTCTCATTCCCACTTTACAGATGAGGAAACCAAGGCCCAGAAAAGTGAAGGGACAAGCCTAGGGTCACAGCTAATTGAGGTGGCCCAGGGACTTGAATATAGGACTTTTAATCAGACTCTTCCCCTGCCCCTCATAGGAGCAAGTGGGTGACGAGGACACTTGGGTGTTCAGCACACAGTGTGGAAGGGGTGTGAACCCACTTGTGGGTTCATTTCTGTTGTTTCAGGGTAACATTTCAGGAAAATATTCCCAGACCAGAGCTCTCAAGAACAGACCCGGCAGAAGTACTACATTTGTTTTCTTGGCCAGTGGAACCAGGGGGAAGTGGTCCAGGAACAAGACGCTCTTTGGAGTTCGCAGGGCGCTTGGCGGATCAAGCAGTAACAGCAAAGACGGGGAGTCTAGGAGGAAACCTACACTGGTTGTGTCAAGTTACAAGTAGGATTTTGGGGCAAATTACAGTTCTCCCCCTTCTAAACTAAAATTTCTGTAACTTGGTTGTATTTTTGTCATGAAAAACAGCTTCCTAATGAAGAAAATAAATGCAAAGATTCAGAGCAGCCAGATTTTGTCATGAGGCCACTCAGAGAAGGTTAGGCAGTAATTGGCCCCACAACCAAAAGCCGCGGCCCGGCTCCTGGGGCAGCGAGTGGGTAGTGCAGCCCGGGATGTGATCACAGCCTCGTGGAGGGTTTGCTCTGTCTCAGGGGAGAGTCCAGCAGCTTGCACTTTCAATTTCTGGCCATCCCAAGAAGTCTGTGTGTTAGTAAGTCTGTTCTCAAATATCATGTCCTTTTCGTGTGATGTTCTCTGTCTGCATCTAGAAACTGCACTTATCTAGAACATAAGCGTGGATAAGCTCTTTGAAACCATCTCATTCTGTTCCTTTTAAAACTGGGCATGCGGCAGCCTGGGGGAAAGGTTGCATCAAGTGGTGGCAGGGCTAAGGCCAGGTGACCTCCTCCCACTCGCGTCTCGTCTGGCTGGTGGGTGTGGGCTGGGGCGGTGGGTCCCAGAGGACAGGGATCAGCTGGCGTGCTGTGAACCTGCCTTGATTTCATTACAGTTGGTTCCTGTGACGAAGGAGGCCAAAATTTAGCCATGACACTGGGGCGGGGCAATTAGCTTAACTCTGTCCCCTGGTCAGAGACTAAGCCTCCGAGGCCAAGAGCAGTCTCAGATGTGAGCAGCCTTCATTAGCGGGGAAGGCGGAAGATAGAAATGATAGTTAATGTGCACTGACAGCCTCCCATACTTACGGTAAAGCACTTTCACACACGCTCCTTCCCTTGGGCCTCAAGACACCCTGTGTTACTGCGAAGCTGGAAGAGCAGCAAGGACCCCAGTTCTGTAGGGGAGGACGCTGAAGAGGGGAGAGGAGATGGCGGAGAGTGTTTGTGGTGACCCCCCCGTTCTGCACACTTTATATGTCCTTCTTGGATCCACAGCATTATTCTCAGGTTTCCAGTGAGGACACTGGAGCTCACTTCCCACAGCTGTCAAGTGGGCGCCAGGACTGAACTCGGATCTTCTGACTCCAAAGTCCACGTTGTCATCTCCTGTGCGGTTGGTGGGAGTGTCAATGGATACAATCATTCTGGATGCCAATATGGCAAAGTCTAACAAAATTAAATACACATTCATTTCTGACTCTCAAATGACACATTTAGGAATTTACCAAGTATTTTTACTGGAACAAATTTATAAAGAATTATGTACAAAGATATTAATTTCAAAGATATTAATTTTTTTCTTTTTTTTGAGGAAGATTAGCCCTGAGTTAATATCTGCTGCCAATCCTCCTCTTTTTGTTGAGGAAGACTGGCCCTGACACAGCTAACATCTGTGCCCATCTTCCTCTACTTTATATGTGGGACGCCTACCACAGCATGGCTTGCCAAGTGGTGCCATGTCCGCACCTGGGATCCGAACTGGCGGACCCCAGGCTGTTGAAGCAGAACGTGCAAACTTAACCACTGCACCACCAGGCTGGCCCCGAATTTCAACTTTCTAATAGCAAGTGGATGGATACAATCTAAACATCCATTACTCTAGGAATGTTTAAATTATGATATATCCAAACAATGGAATACAATGCAGCCTTTAAAAAGAATGAGGCAAACCTAAATGTAGGATATAATTTCACTTACATACAAAGTCAATCACATATGAGGTTTATGCACACAAAACATCTGGAAGAATACATACTGCACGTGCCCAGCTCTGGAGAGAGGAGCGCTTGGGCTCCCTCCACAAACAGGCTGAGCCTTGGCCCTGGGTGTGGCTGGCTGGCAGCCAGAGGGACTCAGCCTTTAACCGAGAGTCGTCTCTGCCCCTCTGGGACCAGTACAATCTCCTTTGTTTGCTTCATTCCTCCTCAGGGAAGAGGTTTAGGAGGGGGCGGAGGAGCCCAGGATGCCCACTTCCTGGAAGCCACTGGTTACATCCTTGAGGGGACATCAGTGACCCTCCTCTCACCCCTCCAGCTGTAGAATGGGAGTTCCCTGTCCTCATGTGTGTGCCTCTTTTTCTCCCCACTGGGAAAGAACCTTGACAGCAAAGACCGCAACTTATTGATTCCTATCTCTAGCGTCCAGGATATTACCCCTGGCAGGTGGGTGGCATCAGGGACTGTTTGTCCCACAGATGGATTAATTGACCTCCCCCTCTCTGTATCTGTTGTGTGGTTTAAAGGAGGGCCTAGGAGTGTCTTTATAAGAAGTACTGTGTATTTAGAAAAGTCTGTCTACCCCAATCTTTTTGTAAGGAAACTTAGGAAACTTAATTCCATTGTTTTATTATTCAACATTTTATACATAATAAATACAAACTTTGTACAGCCACTGTAAAGAAAGCACGTTTGCACCAGGCGCTCCCTCTGAGCCGCCCTGTGCACTCGGACGCTGGGTTCATGTCCTGGAGGGAGGGGTTCTTTTTAAAAAGGAGGCATATTTTTACAACTTGTTTTTTTAAAATAAAATTAGCAGCTCTTCCAGAAAATATTTTAAAATATAACAAAAGATTTCAAATAACCCTCTGAGAATGTGGAAAACCCAGATTCAAGGACAATTTGGCTAGCTAAAGAGAGAATACAAGACTGGGTGGTAAGAACTGCCTGATTTAAGCACTTTGAAGATTTTTAAAGTGCTTTGAAGATTTTTAACACGTCGGCAAACTTTAAAATCTTAAAAAAACCACCTTTTTAATTTCTTTATTAAACTTAAGAATAAGTTTGATAAACACAAAAAGACCTCAAAAAGATCAACAGGTTAAGAAACGCAAAAAACAAAAACAAAAAGCCCCAAATCACGGAGAAGATTCATCAGTGGGTACTGTCACTGAAGTGATCAAATGACAAACTAAAAATTTCTTCAGCTATGACCTTACTTTTGGTCAAAAATCCCATGGGGACATTTGGCGAGCATTTCAAGTTTTAAAAGATTCTTAGGTGGGATGGAGTTTGCAAAGCATAATACAACTTTTGGATTAAATTCTGAAAATTTGATTTCTTAAAAAAAACTAAACAACTGGCAAACATCCCTTCATCCCTAGGTAATGCGCTCCCTTCTCCCAGAGGCGGTGGAGAAGTGACAGAGGCCTACGCTGGGACACCTGCCCTGTGGGCTTGCTGGCCTGCAGGGAAAGCTCCTTCCAGCTCTCCCTGTGATGCAGAGAACTGGTCTTCTTGTCAATTTGCACGTGTGCAGCATGTACAATCCATAGTCCTTTTTCACAGGAAGCTGGTTTCCTCCATGAGCCATAAGTTCTTCCTTCCGGGGGAATGTCAGGTCAGTGGGACCTGGGAAGCTGCATTTCCTGCAGTGGGCAGCCACTGGTGTGGACTGGCCACCACTTGCCTGTCTGGGCCAATGCACTGGCTAGGGAATAAAATAATGCTAGGGCCTCCCCAGTAGAGAAGCTCAACAAGGCAAGTAGGTGTCCCCAATTTATCTAGACATTCAGATTCTAAGGATACTGGTCAGAAGAGTATATGCTGCAAAAATTAAGATGAAAAATACCCAAATACAAAAAGAATATTAAGTCGGCTCATTTCAGGCCTGGAAGCTCCATTCTGCTTTAGCTGCAGCCTCCTTTCTACTAGTTTATGTGATGGACAAGATTTGGCTACTAGGCCAGCCCCTCCATATTAGCTCCACTAATACTAAATGAATGGCATAAATATTAATACAAAGGACACTGTTATTGTTTTAAACCTGTTAGTTGTGGAAGAGATGTGCATTAATGCAATTGGCGCTAAACTCAGGGCAGTCCACTTTTTTCCAATCAAGTTTCACTTTCTCAGTCTGGGGACTGACTGTGGGGAGGAGCCAGCCTCTCCTGAAGTCCCTCCTTCTGCGTCCTCAGGTAGCCGACACCATCTGATTAGGCTCAATCAGACAAGCAAAAGCCACTTGAAGAAAGATGAGAATCTTTGCCACATCCTTGTGGCCACAGTAATACACTGTGCGAGTGCACGTGATCAGTGTCTCTGTGACTGTGCCGTGAACGAGGCCTGGTCTTGAGTCTTATATAAAAACGGGCCACTGTCAGGCACGAGGGCTGTCCCCTCTCTGCTTCTAGGGCCCACTAGGATTTGTGCTATGATAGGAGAGATGACATAGAAAATGACAACAAAAAAAGGCACAAAATATTCAAACTGTGGGAGGAGTCTACCAGGCCACCCAGTCACATATAATCCTCCTTGTTTTTGCTCTGTTCAAGAGTCATCATCATGCAAAGGTGCCTAAAAAACAAGAGTGGCCAAACTCCCAGCCTGGCCTTGATTGTAGCAGTCATGGGCGGGCAAACCCACCATCACACCAGCGTGATTTCCACATCCTCGATCTTCTCCGCCGGCCTTCGGTGGTTCTGCGTAGGCGGAGGGGGAGCTGCCCGGACCTGAGCAGGGAACAAGTGCATGGATTGTCAGTCAGCTTCCTGAGTCAGTTTCTGTAGCATCCAAACTCCAACCAGTCATTTATCCAAGGACATGACTCCCCAGGGGCCTCAGAAATGCTCTGAGCGTGTGCTTTCAACCTAATTTTCACTATTTCCCACACTGAGCAGGAGTTACTGTTCCGGATGAAATGTGAAACCCACAAATCGGGTTCTTGCCTAGGCTGAAAGCCGCAGGGGTCACTGTCGCCCTGAAAGCCTCGTCCAAAGCAAAGGCCTGGAGCTGGAAGCAAGAGAGAGCAACGTGTGGAGAACTGAAAGCCTGTCAGCACGTCCTGGAAGAAGAGTTGCAGGAGATGAGACTAGAGAGGTGGGCGGGGGGAAGTCAGGAAGGGCTTCGTTAAGCTATGTTAAGAAATGTGAGCTTTCTTCTGTCAGCAAAGAGGAGTCTTTGGTGATTTTAAACAGCGCACCAGATTTGTGAAAAGGTGACTCAGGTAACAGTTTGGAGACAGAGCGGAGGCGAGCAAGAGTGTAGGTGAGAAGACGATTTGGGAGCCTCCTGCAGTCCTCTGGACAGAGCTGATGTCAGCCTGCACAGGGCACCGGCATGGCGGGGTGGAGAAGTGGAAAGGCTGATGGCTGTCCCCGAGGTAAACCTGGCAGGATTTGGTGACAACTATTTGTGGGACCAGGGCCAGGGAGGTATCAAGAGTGATGCCAGAGCACTGGTAGGAAGGGGGCTCCATTCACCGAGACGCAATGTGGGAGAAGGAGCGTGTCTGGAGAGAGGATAATTAACTCGTTTCTGCTGAGCTTTGGGGGTTTAGTAGACACAGACTGAGACATCCTCAAGTCTGGAGCTCAGGGAAGAGACCAGACTGGCAGTTATATGTCTGGGAGCTGCCAGTAAATGAACGGTTCTCAAAGCCGTGGAAGTAGATGAGATTCCACAGGGAGAGTGAGTTCGGTGGCTCCGAGAGAAGCAGCAGCAGAGAGGGACGGGGCAGAGAAGCCTGCAAAGGCCAATGGAAAGAAAGGGCCGGAAAAGCAGAAAGCAAAACAGAAAGGGCGGTAGGACAAATTGGCTCACTTCTCTCCACTCCCGCTCTTACCCTCCAGTCCTCGCTCCCGTCCCTGTGTCTGGACCACTGCTGCAGCCTCCGAGTGGCTCCCCAAGTCCATTCCCCCACCTTCCATCATTCTCCACTTGGCTGCCATAGCAGTGTTTTAAAAATGCAAAACTGGTCATACCACTGTCGTGCTTACAATCTTCCTATCACATTTAGGATAAAGAACCAAGTCCTTGACAAGGCACTCAACACACATCTGCTGAATGAAGCGGCCAAAGGAAGTGGGTGGTCTGAAGAACCTATCAAATGCTGATAAGGGGTCAAGGAAAATAAAGTTGCAAAGTATGCACTGATTAGCATGCAAAGGCATGACCTTGGAGGAGCTGCTTTACAGCGAGAAAGCGAGTGAGGCGAGGGTAGAGGTGATTATTTGTAAGAGTACATTCTCTTTGAGAAGAGAAGCTCTCAAACCTCAAAAAGGCATGAAGTGTATCTTATTATTTCATCTGTGTCACCAAAAGAGGCAAATACAGGCCTGGAAAATAGGTTCTCAATAAATGCTTGCTTAAAAAAACGGTGCTTCTGTTTCACAATTAGACCACTCTGATGCTCACAGAGCTTGTTATAATTTAAATACACGTTCATAGCTCATCTTGTGATCTCACATGGCTCAGTGAGAAAAGAGCCAGTGGTAGACTAGACCTCCCAAGACGTGTTCATTTTTATAGCCGTCCTTTTCAAGAGCTCTTTTTACCTTCCCAAATCCACCTCACCCTCATGTGGTAGAATTAGTAACAACACAGTGGCCACAGGGGAAACATTGCTTTCTTCTTCTTCTTCTTTTTGTTTGCTGAGGAAGATTAGCCCTGAGCTAACATCTGTGCCAATCTTCCTCCACTTTATATGTGGGTCACCACCACAGCACGGCCTATGAGTGGTGTAGGTCCATGCCCGGGATATGAACCTGTGAACCCAGGCTGCCGAAGCAGAGTGTGCCAAACTCAACCACTGTGCCATGGGGCCAGCTCCAGGAAACACTGATTTCTAACTTTCGATTGGAAGAACTAAGCATTCTATAAGCCTGCCAGATAGGAGACTTACAGGTCGCAGTTTGCCATATGAGGTCTCCGGAGTATGCCTTGGTGCCTGTGAGAATCCTGGCGATTCAGCATGGAAGCTGTTTTCTAAGGGAGGGAATGAAAGAAGCTCATTTTATCTGTGTAGCCAAGCAATAAAAATGCTCACGCAGATCTGTCTGCCCTTCAGGTGAACACGTGGATTTCTGAACGAAAATGTATTCAGACCCGTGCCCAGGAAAGCCTCACCGTTGGCGGAAGGAGAGCGCGGGAAGTACTGGGAGCTCCTCTTATCTGGGCTGGGGTACGGGCTGCCGGGAGGCTGGTCGTACAGCGGCAGTGGCGGCAGGGAGCCCGGCGGCTTGGAGGAAGGAGAGATCTGCAGGGGAGAGAGGGGGCAGCGCTCGCCTCAGGAAGGAGACTAGGCGGCTTCTCTGACGACTCCTGACAAATCACTTTTCTTTGGAGCTAAGTTATGACTATTAACTTTTTTGTCAGCCTCATTAGAAGCAAATGAGCCTAGAATATCCACCCCAAACTCCAATTTTCTGCTGCATTTAACTTCTTCCTCTCACGGATCTCTGCATTATACTCTGATTTTAGTTTATCTTAAACAGTTATCAAGTCAAACTATTCTCTAGAGTTCCACTGAAAACATACCAAATCAGACAATTCAGTGAAGGAAAAAAAAGGGGACAAGTTGTATTTTTTTCTGAAGATAAAACATTGGCTTAGTTTCTGATTTCCCTAGGTTTTGTAAATGTCACACTCGCTACGTGGTCACAGTACCACACAACCAAGATGGGCAGACCCATTCCTTATGGTCCTGACCTGCCAGGCCTGCTGTGACAGATCCGAATTAGGAGTCTCCTGTGAAGGAAAGTACGGCTGAGGAGCTAAGCCTGGGGCCACCTGCGTGTCATGGGGCTCTCGCAGGCCTGTGACTTCTCTGAAATGGACTGACGGGACGGGGGCTGGGCACGGGGGCTCTGACAGTGAGGGACAGAAAGAACAACCCAATATTTTTACTACATAAACTAACCACAGAGACAATACACTCCCTCTCCGGTTTCTTTCTTTCTCTCCACCAAACCATTCTTTCGTATGTCACATACACTGTAGCATTTTGGTAAACAATTCAGAGAACAGAATGTGGGGGAACTGAGGTGTAATATGGCCGTTACACAAGAGCCTGAGTGATGGTCTCTGCTTTTCCAAATTCAGTGTTGCAGAAACCTGGCAACTGAGGATTGGAGTGTGAGGGGGAGGCTGAGACGACAGCCCACTTTTGCGTGGGTCAACAGACTCCTTGGGAGTCACTTTCTTTAAACATCTTTTAATTTGACTCTCTCCCGTCATGTACCTGAATCTCTTTCATCCATGGAGTGTCACCATTTTCTGAGGCTGAAAGTTCTTCCACGAGCACCGATGGGAACACTCCAATCAGTCCATTGAACTCCCCTTCCCAGAAGCCATCATCATCCTGGTTTTCTTTGTTCAAGATTCGGATGATTGCTCCCTCAGGAAAAGATAATTCATCATCTGTCTGGCCCTCGTAGTCATAAAGTGCTTTCACGAAACAGACTAGGTAGCAAGAGAGAGAAATACAGTAGGAACATTAACAGCCAGGGTACTTTTGCAACCACCCCTATGCTCAGGTGACAACTAAAAGAACATCATACAGAATAAGAGGAAAGCTGTAATTTCATTACTCACTGAAGATGACCTTCAGGCTTCTACAGTACAAAACAGATGTGACTAAACAAAGGAAAATGCTACAGAATAGGAATAAACTTGTGCCTTTTAACCTACTGAAGGCTGACTCCAGGGTAATACAATCTAGGCCAATTGTGATCAAATAAAGAGTGCCTTGTTTCAGTCTTTACCACTGGCATCTCCGTTGAGGCTGCCTGAAACGAGTTCGGCCTCCGTGGAATTGCTGGATGTGTGTGACCGACTGTCCAAGGCAGCCAAGGACTGCAGCATGCTCAGCAGACTGTTCGAGGTGGGAAACTGGAGGTACTTTTCTGGCACGTAACCCACTTGGCCAACTTTATTTCGAGCCTGAGTAAAAGACATGTGACAAAACAGGTTTGCACACACAATCTAGACAGGGCATAACAAGAACCAAAACAAACTCCTAAAAATGTCACAAGAGGGGGCGATATGAGCAAAGGAATATACCTTTACCCAGTCTTCCATATCTCCATCTTCAATCACTTCTAACACCTCATGCTCCTCAATGGTCAACTCATCTGGTTGAGAAGCCTGCAATGTAGGATGGTCATGGACAAAATTAAAAAGGTTAGATAAAGAGCAGATGTGCGCTGATCATAACAAAAACTGGGGATCAAAATATTGAAATGATTTTGAAAAACGTACTGAACATAAAAAATTTAAGTGTTGTAAAACTATCAAAATGAGGTGAAGTTTTACTTTAAAAAACTAAACAAAATAAAGCCACAACGAAAACTGGAGAAACGGAATCCTCAAGAGGTAATCAGGTCCAGTGAACACAGCACTCTGCTGGAAGTACAGGGCCTGGGTTCCAGCTCCAGCTTATGCATCTATAGGTAAGTTATTCAACTTCTTGATGCCTCCATTTCTTCAAAATGACAATCCTGCCATTCTTAGGAGGATGGGGGAGTCAATGTGGGATGAATAAGCACAGAACCATGATGATTTGGGAAGCAGAGGCGAAGGAGAAATCACTGAATTAGAACTGCCCCAGAGGGCCATCATGGAGGGACATGTTGTGAAAATGCAAAGAACTATGTAGATGGATTGGATGAGAGCTTGAGCAGCGCCTAGAATTGATCTGGAATCATTGTTAAACAGTGGCCAAGAGAAGAAAGTTGTAGGAAAGGAAATGACTGAGATCGGTCAAAGTTTGGATTTATTATGCTCCAACTTAACTGGACACTGGGCTGATCCACTTGGGTGCTTCTGCACAAGCCGCTAACTGTGATGGTTTTAGTATTTCTGACAGCAGGAGTCCACTAGGACCAGCGACTCACATACTGCCCTTGAGACTGTGGAATCCTAGAGCAAACTCTCAGAGTTTGCTGTGTCTCAATCCACAGACGGATTGGAGAGAGAGACCCCGTGGCTTTGTTTCCTGAAGAGACCTGCCTGTCACGTGTACCAGGGAGAGGCCTGCTGGCATCTTCAGGCTCTCTAGTGAACAGTCTTAAAACCATCCCCCAAGTCCCAAGATCAGTGAAAACTATCATCTAAGACCATGTAAGTTTTTCAAATCTCACAGTCTCAAAGTGTAAAACATCGCCAAGTTACACAAGCAAAAATAAGGCAAGAAAATGGGTCACTTTCCTAAGATTCATTTTCCATTTCGTGTGCATTACAACATTTCATCAAACCCAGATTCTGCACGTTGCCATAGCTGTTTGAGATGGAAAAATAGTACTGAAAATGGCTGATCAATCACAGATATACTCCAAGACCAGAATTTTAAGTAAATTACCTCTGATCTCAAAATATGAGGAAAAAAAGTGCATTGATTCTTGATACTTTTCCAGTGGAATTTCTTTGCTAATCTGAAACTATACTATGCCTTGAATACACCAGCAAAAGGCACCTATATAACAAAGACGTTTTTCCTAATTCCATGGCAAGACTTAAAAAGTATCAACGCAACCAGACTTCAATGTGTATGAGAGCAAAGCAGGAGGGATAAGAACACATTTAAATATATTGCTGCCCTTGTAAAAAAAGTCATGGGGGTCCCCACAAGTTGTCCCACATCGTTATATAAGCAGACACTAGCTGGATCATACCATCCCCAAGCCGTGACCAATTCTTCCACTTGACAAGGTCAAGTCCTTTGTTATGGCAGTCAAGATCCTACAGAGTTTGGCCCCATGGTCTCTTGATGCTTTGGCCCCAGCACACTATGCCAAATTCTCTCAAACACACCATGCTCTTCCTTGCCCAGGCTATTCCTTCTTTCCAGCGGGCCTGCTCCCTCTTTCCATCAGGTGAATGGATTTAGATTACTATGGGTTCAAGTCCAGCTTCAGTCTGTTTCTATAGGCAAGTGACCATAAGACCTCTCCGAGCCTCAGTTTTCCTTTTTATTCCTATAAGAATGTAAGCTCTGTGAGGGCAGAGATTTTTGTCTGTGTTATTCAGTGCTATATCCTCGAGCCTAGAAAAGAACACAGCACACTACATGGAAGGTGCTCAAATAATATTTGTTGAGTTAATGGTCGGTTGATAATATCTTCCTTATAGGGTGATCAAAGGGATTACAAACATATATATAGGGTACCAGGCACACAGTACTTTATAAATTGTAGCTAACAATATTACTCATGATTTGAAGCATAGATCCTAGGTTTTCCCAGACACCCACAGTGAGCTGGTTGCTTCATCCTCCTCCTGTTCTTATAAGGCTTTGTGCATCCCTCTAACACTGACCACCATGGCAACTACTTAGTTGCTTGCCCTTGTGGGCTTTCTACTGGAATAACTTACTTAAGGCAGGGAACGTAATTCTTCTCACCCCAAGTAACAACAGTAAGTGGTCAGTAAATGGTCATTAAATACACACAAGGTCTCACAGTGCCTCCTGAAGTCCTAATCTCCAGTGACAGCCAGAACTCCACAGGCAGCCATGCCCTCGATTCCCACCACCATCTCTCCAAATTTCCTGTTTTATTTTAAAACAATATGCTTTTTTCTGATTATAAAAGTACATGTTCATTGTAGAAAAGCTGGAAAATATGCATAATTGAGATTTTAAGGTACATACAATTAGGTTTTTTTTTGACATAACATAGCATTTCTTCTTACATAAAAAACTTTCACTGATGTAATTTTCAATTATCTTGATAATATTACATTCTATGGTTATATTATATATTATGGTTACATTACATGAATGGTTAATTTATTTAAGTATTCCCTTATTGGATTGCCAAGTTTAAGCTATTATAAAGTAGTGCTATGATGAAAGAACACTGTTTCCAAAACGTTTTTCTATATTGTTGGTCATTTCATTAGGACAGATGCTAGAAGGGTCAAGTTATGAGCTGTTTTAAGGCTTTTTGAATCGCATCCTAAAATACAGCTTTTCTTTCTTCTTCCCAGATTAATCTGGGCCTTCTTTGCTGGTCTGGACTAGAGGAATCACTACCAGGCTTAGTCAGTCTCCCTCTATTCTAATCTATCCTCTAGACTAGCTATACCACCACCAGGGTCACCTTAAAAGCCTAATCTGACTTTAGGACATCGGTGGCTGCTCCCAGCCAGGACAAAAGCCAAACCTCAGTCTGGTCTACACGGCTCTTTACTGTCTGACAGCAAACACCTTTACTTCCTGCTGCTCTGTTCCCCACACTCGATGCTCATGCGCCACTGACTTCAACATTTCCTGAACACTCCATTATCTCATCGCTCTGTCTCTGGATCTGCTGCTCTCTTGGCTTAGAAGGCTCTTTCCCTTCCCTACCTTCTGTCTCTAGAAAGATCTTATTGACCTAATTTAAGTGGTGCCTCATCTGTAAAGCTTCTCCCAACCCTCACAGGAAGAATTAGCAGTTTTACCTCTACTCTGTTTTCTAGTTAGTCATTGACACATATTCCATTCTTCAGTTTAATATTCATTCCCCTAGACTACCCATTCCTGGAAGGCAGGGACTGCGTCCCAGTCAATCTCGTACCCTCAAAACTTACCACATATTGGGCACTCCATAAGTGTTTGTTTAATGATTAATGCATTAAATAGATTTTTATAGGCTGGTTTATATAGGGATAGGCTTGCAAAATGCCGATAAAGGGAGTGCTGGATGAATGCGAGCTGTTTATAGCCACTCAGACATGTAGGACCCTCTCCATTTAAGGACTTTAACTTTTTTTTTTTTTTGCTGAGGAGTATTCGCCCTGAATTAATACCTGTTGCCAATCTTCCTTTTCACTTGAGGAAGATTTTCCCTGAGCTAACATCTGTGCCAATCTTCCTCTATTCCGTTTGTGGGTCACTGCCACACCATGGCTGCCAACAAGTGGTGGAGGTCTGAGCCCGGGCACTGAGCCTCAGGTGCTGAAGTGGAGTGCACCGAACTTAGCCACTAGGCCATGGGTCCAGCCCCTAAGGACCTTAAATCTTAATTCTGAAACTTCAAAGTAAATAGAATACATAGAAGTGAGATAGGGAAACATTCTCAACCCTAGTTTTATAATACTCTCTAAGATCTTTCCAAGTATCTCAAAGGTAACTTCAAATTTTCAAAGGACTATCAAAAGAGTTTACAGTGAAAAAAAAAATTCTTCCCCTTTTAGAAAACAGGAAGTATTATTAATTTAAATATATAATGAAAAGATGTTAAACTGAAAAAAGTCTGGGAATCACTGACATTGAGGAGTAAATACCGCCAACTTTTGGCTCTCCAGGGATGGTGCTGGGGGAGTGAGGCTGTCCCATGTATGACTGAAGGTCTCTCCAGACCCTTCCTCTGTTGTGGTCCCTTAAGCACTGGGTCTCCACCAGCATGGGAGCCAGAGGAGGATTCATCTCTTCATAGCTTCCTCATATCATTCATTTATTCAGCCCACAATTATTTCCTGAGGACCTTCTATGTGCCAGGTACTGCCCTAGGTGCTGAAGACACACAGACAAGGATTCTGCCTTCATGGACCTTTAGTGTGGAGTCAGACAAAGAAATACAAAAACAAGTAAGATTAAATTTGACTGGTGATAAGTGCTATATAGTAAAAAAAAAAAAAAAAAAAAAACAAAGAGGGCAAAAGGGCAGTGGGACAGAGTAGTGACTGACGAGTCAGTCAGGGAGACCTGAGGAGGTGCTATTTGAGTTGAGCCTCAATGAAGAGCAGTGGGCAGCTAACCAAGATTTAGGAAAAGACAGTTCTAGGTGGAGGGAGCAGGAAGTGCAAAGCTGTCAAGTCAGGAAAAAGCCTGGTGCTTCTGAGACTGAAAGGCAGCCAGATGGGCTACTGTGTAGACAGTGGGTGGCGGAATGGTCTGACATGAAGCTAGGGAGACTGGCAGGGGCCAGATCAATCTGCACATTATAGACTCTAGCAAATGTTTTTCCCTGTGCGATGGAAAGCTTATGAAGGGTTTTAGGCAGGGCAATAAAATTATCTCCTTTACGTGTTAAAGATAATTCTGGCTGCAGAGTGGAAAATGGACTGTTGGAAGGCAAGTATGAAGAAGGGATACCAATTATAGCCTTTTCCTTTACAGTAGTCAAAGCAATGGCCTAGACCAAGCTGGTGAAAAGCGAGTGGATTCAGAATATGTTTGGAGGTGGACTCAATAGGACTGGCTGATGGACTGGCTGAGTGGACTGAGACAAAGAGAGGAACCAGGGAATTAAAACTCAGTTTACTTCACATGAGTAAAAAGTTATTGTGAAAGCAGGGTAAGGGCGAGAGAGATTAAGAACTATTATACCAAATCAGGTTTGGGAATGCTGCCATCTATTTATCCAGGTCCCTGCTTAACATGGAAATAAGAGGTGGTTATATTAATATTAGGAAAGGTAAAGTTTAAAAAAACTGCTCTGTAAAACAATTTTCTTGCAATATCAGTTTTAAAGGTCATCCTAATGGAGGATCTTAAGGCAAGCAGGCAACTGATAAGGGTAAAAGTTCTATTTACTGAAAATGTACAGGATGCCAGGCACTGTAAGTGCTTTGCTATAGAAGTGTTATCTCATTTAATCTTCAAACTAGCTCAATAATATTATCCCCATAAGTAAGAAAACTGAGGCTCACAGAGACTAAGGGAGCAGTGTGGTCAGATAGCTCCTAAGTGGCAGAGACAGGATTTTAACCCAGACAGTCTGATTCTGACGCTAGAGCCTAGACCCTTCATCATTATGTTACGTTGCCTCTAATACTAACTAGACATCGATTTTATGTTAAGCCCAGTCTGAGAGGCTGAGTTGATACAGTTACGTGTATCTTCAGAGTTTCACAATTTAATATGAGCAATATGTTAGAGAAATACAAACCTTGTAGGAATAAACAACTTTGCAGGTGAGTGGATAATTTCTTAAGGTGCCAGAAGGGCTGGAACTGCTGTCATCAAAAACATCCATGTTGTCTTCAAACTCTTCTCCTTCTTCTCTTTCGGTGTCTGCATTCAGCTAGGAAAAATTAGAAGCCTTTGACTAGCTTGCTTACTAAGAACATGGTTGAAAGCAGAAAAACACACTTAAAATCTGATTGTTTCAAAATGTTAATTTACTTATTCAACTGCACTTGCATTTTTCATGTCATGAAAGGACAGAGATATTTTTCTTTTTAAAACCAAGAGTAAAATGTTTTTCTAATATATAAGAAATATTACTATCCTTTCACTTTTCACTGTTAAATACTGAATAATAAACACCTCTTACCATTTTAAACTGATCATATTGGGAAACATTAAACAGATTTCTAAATGCTACCAAGGATGTGGAGAAACAGGCTCTCATCTACGGCAGGGAGAAACGTAAATTGATACATCCTTTATAAAAAAAAAACCGCCTACTGAAATTAAAAACTAAACATACCACTTGATCTAGCAATTACACTTCTGTGAATCCAGAATGGAGAAATAAAAGCACCAGGACGTAAGACTATAATTCTAGGATGTTTACTGTAACATTGCTGGTAGTGGCAAAAGCCTGGACACAACCTGTACGTCCATCAACTGAGGAAGTTTGAACAAACTATGATGTGTCTGTACTACAGATAAATAACACCTAATAAAAATGAGTTAGGGAACAGAAAGTCCACAAACAAACTCTCGTTATATGGTTAAATGATTTTCGATAAAGGCCCCAAGACCATTCAACAGGGAAAGGACAGTCTTTTCAATAAATGGTACTGGGAAAACTGGATATCTACATATAAAAGCGTGAAGTTAGGCCTTTATCTTATAAAAATTAGCTCAAATGGATTGAAGACCTAAACATAAGAGCTAAAATTATAAAACTCTTAGAAGAAAACATCAGGGAAAAGTTTATGACATTGGATTTGGCAATGATTTCTCGGGTATGACACCAAAAGTATAGGCAATAAAAGAATAGATAAACTGGACTTCATCAAATTAAAAACTTTTGTGCATCAAAGGACAACAGAGTGAAAAGACAATCCACAGAATGGGATAAAATATTTGCAAATCATGTATCTGATAAGGGATTAATATTCAGAATATATAAAGAATGCCTAAAATGCAACAATAACAAAAAACCCAATTCAAAAATAGGCAAAATATTTCTCCAGAGAAGATATACAAATGGCCAATAAGCATATGAAATGATGTTCAACATCACCATCAGTAGGGAAATGCAAATCAAAACCACAACGAGATACTCATTAGAATGGCTATTATCAAAAAACCAGGAAATAACGAGTGTTGGTGAGGATGTGGAGAAGATGGAACACTCGTGTGCTGGTGGTAGGAACGTAAAATGGTGCAGTCACTGTGGAAACCGGTACGGCGGTTCCTCAAAAAATTTAACATAGAATTCCATATGATCCAGTGATTCCAATTCCAGGTATATACCCAGAAGAACTGAAAGATGGGGCAGGAACAGATATTAGTACACCAGTGTTCATAGCAGCCTTATTCACAACAGCCAAATGGTAGGAACAACCTGAGTGTCTGCTGACAGAGGAATGGATGAACAAAATGTGGTATACACATACAATAGAGTATTATTCAGCCTTAAAAAGGAAATAGATTCCGACACATGCTACAATCTGGGTGAACCTTGAGGACATTAATGTTAAGTGAAATAATCCAGTCACAAAAAGATAAATACCGTGTGATTCAACTTTTATGAGGTCCCTAAGCAGTCACGTTCATGGAGACAGTGCAATGTTGGTTGTCAGGGATTAGGGGTTAAGGATTGGGGAGCGATTGTTCAATGGGTACAGAGTTTTACTTTTGCAAGATGGAAGGAGTTCTGGAGATGGATGGTGGTGATGGTTGCACAACAATGTGAATGGACTTAATGCCACTGAACTGTATAGTTAAAAATGGTTTAAATGGTAGATTTTATGTTACATATATTTTGTCACAAAGAAGAGTACAGTCCTTTTTGAAATGTAGGACAAGGAAAATAATTTTTTTTTTTTTAAAAAAGATTTTATTTTTTCCTTTTTCTCCCCAAAGCCCCCCGGTACATAGTTGTGTATTCTTCGTTGTGGGTTCTTCTAGTTGTGGCATGTGGGACGCTGCCTCAGCGTGGTCTGATGAGCAGTGCCATGTCCGCGCCCAGGATTCGAACTAACGAAACACTGGGCCGCCTGCAGCGGAGCGCGCGAACTTAACCACTCGGCCACGGGGCCAGCCCCAAGGAAAATAATTTTTTAACCCAATTTCAATGTATATTACTCTCCATAGTTAAAAGGCATATATTAATTAAAATGGTGTTGAGTATTTATACGAGCATAAATATCTGACAGGAGGAGGCAGAAAAAGAAAGATAAAGCCTGGAGAACAGAGGAGATCACTGACTTGCTTTTTACATACCTCTGTACTACCTGAACTATTAAAATAAGCTAGGTTTTACTTTTTAAACTAAAAATCCAATAAAGAAGAAACAAAATAGGCTCAGAGATTTCTGTTTCTAGCTATATAAGAGCACTTATTTGGCTACTTCTTTCTATGTTCAAACATACAAAGGCACCAATGTTTACACATTAAGGATACAAGGAACAGACAGTCAGAATTGGGCCTCACAGTAGCACGATTAATTTAAATACCAAATACCTACCGTATGTTGAACACTTTGCTAGGCTCTTAGATACAAAACGCAGGACACTGTGCCTGCTTTGTAGAAGGTCATGTCCAGAGTGGAAACTACCACAATTAAATGCTAAGTGCACAGGGGCCTGTGGATATGGAAGAGGCGACTGGAGAAGGTCAGAGATTTCCCGGGATTCAGTGAGTCAAATAGTAGAGGCTGCCTATAGTATTAAGTTCTACCTTTTTTTCCCCCTGCTTTTTTCTCCCCAAATCCCCCCAGTACATAGTTGTAAATTTTAGTTGTGGGTCCTTCTAGTTTTGGCATGTGGGACGCGGCCTCAGTGTGGCCTGACAAGAGATGCCATGTCCACGCCCAGGATCCGAACCAGTGAAACCCTGGGCTGCCCAAGTGGAGTGCATGAACTTAACCACTCGGCCACAGGGCTGGCCCCTAAGTTCTACTTTTTAATGAATTAAAATGATTTCCCTTGAGTAATTATCACTAACGTTTTAAAATCGACTCTTCTTTTAACTGCTATTTCCCTAAATAAAATCTAGAGAACTGTGTGTGTGTGGGGGGGTGTTTCAAAAGAACAAATAGCAAATATTTCCTGTCAAATTTATTGCTTCCATTTCAAAGCCCCTGTAATATTCTCATTTATAATTATTATTAAACATTCTCCACAGCTGAGTGGGGTAATGTGTCTCATCTTACAAATAATTCATCCATGTCAGTCAGGTCAATGACAAAATAGACTCAAATCTTGACCTTTCAAATCATCTCAGGCTTATGATTCTATTGTTTTCCAACAGGGCATTGTGTCATATAAAAGGATCACATACTAGAAATTGCCATAAAACTTACTTTAAACATATTCGTATACAGTCATGTGCTGCTTAACGACATTTTGGTCAACGACAGACCACATATATGGCAGTGGTCCCTTAAGATTAGTGCCATATAGCCTAGATGTATAGTAGGCTATGCCATCTAGGTTTTCTAAGTACACTCTATGATGTTTACACAATGACGAAATCACCTAAGGATGCCTTTCTCAGAAAACAGCCCTGTTAAGTGACGCATGACTGTTTACTTGGAAGACATTGCTTTTATATTCTAGTAAAGGTTATGACACTTAAAAAAACTGTTAGCATTACAAGAAAACAAAACACCCATACATCCATAAAAACTAAAATTAAAGCCAATATGGGTAGAACATGTTTCCAAAAATATATAAGGAATGTTAACATATACTGTACTTTGCCACTAGGAATCAATCCAAAACGTTTCATCTTGGCAACGCTGGTTGATACTAAACATTCCTTTCTTTCTCCTTTATTTTGAGTTCATTTTTTGATTCTCAAGGAAAGGAATGAAAGGTTGCTGTCACAGCAATAGGGGTCACTGCCATATGCTTTTGCAGTCTTCTAGCAGCTTTCCAAATATGTCATCTCAGAATAATTTCTTCCTTTTTCCTCTTTCACCCCCTGTAACTTAATTGTTACAATGTTTTCTTGACCCAGCATTTCTAAAATCACATTCTTCCTCTGTTTCTCAACAACTGCTCTCTGATCCCTTTTACTTCCTGTCACTTGACAGAACTTCAATCAAAACTATTCTTTCTAGCTGTACTAATATTTTTCCTTTTTTAGATGTTATAAAATGCTTACTCTTACTGCCAGGGCAGATAAGAAGAATATTTTTGAGTTGGTTTTAGTAGCTGTCTTCTTGTACTCAGCAAAACAACCTCGAAGGGCTTCACCGACTTTATGGTGCTGTCATGAACTGGAATGCAGTGGGTCCTTGGGTCTGATCGACTTGGGTCTGAACGCTGACTATGCCATGACTTGTTGTGTGACGGTGGGCAAATTTTTAAATTCTCAAATTCAACAACCTCATCTTTATAATCACCTCTTCACAGGGTTATCATAAGGATTAAATGAGGTAATATATTTAAACGCCTAACACATGCTTGATACATTAATAAATCATTACTTTTGTTGTTTTTATGAGGAAAAGAGAATCTAGATAAAGAATCTGGTGATATCCAAAACAGAGGAAGGCAGCTCCTTATAACTGACTAGCAGAACCTCTGAATTCCATCTAGACAGAGATCTGATGAGAGTGAACATCATTTCAAATACAACCCAAGTAGTTATAAAAGATGAAGTTGAAAATATCAGCAAAGTGGATTTCTGCTTCCAGGAAGTATGGAGTATCAGGGACCAGACACAAGTTCCTTCCAGAAATAACTAACAAACTGCTCAAAATAGATGAAAGAACAGATTTTTCCCCTTCTTTTTCTCCCCAAAACCCCTCAGTACATAGTTGTATATTTTAGTTGTGGGTCCTTCTAGTTGTGGCATGTAGGACGCCGCCTCAGCATGGCCTGACGAGTGGTGCCA